ATAGGGAAAATGTATAATTGACCTCACTTGAATGCAAGACTCATTGATAACCTCAGTATCTCCTAAGCTTGATGCATCAAGAAAATGGTGACACTAAAGAGATAGAGAAACAAAAAGAGGAATAAGAGGAAGGTGTACAGCACTAAATTGTTATTACAAAAGTAATAGTAATGGCAATGGTAACTGCATTGCCATCTGTGCTCAGAAGGCAATGTCATTGTTAATGAATTTATCTGAGAATACATTGTACATTCATGTACAGTCAGGGACTCAGTGACATAGGCCTGTGACAACTACCATTACAATTACTCAGTAATCCATTAACTCAAATACATGTACATTTACATCACATACGACTTATCATTGCATTAGTGCATATTAATCTTAACACAGCCTTTATATGATAATGTCTATGGAACAAACTGTTTCTTGATTATGAGTATAGTTAACAGCACTAAAAGAGAGAGTGAAAGTGTGTGTAAATTTAAGTGACGTTGATGTTCAAACATTGTACTTTTTCAAATTGGACATGCTTTGAATTCTCTTAGCATTTTGTCTTAATTCTATTCTCCTGTACAATAAATGACACATCAATTATTACTGACCAAAGGACACTCACTGTCCCTCATTTACTGTACATGTGTACATGCACTGAATGAAACATGCACTGTAATGTGAATTGTGTCTTACCATCATGTTGTTAGGATTGTTCTGTTCCCACATCTTTTGCCAAAAATAAAGAGCAGGTGGATTTCATGGGATCTTGAATCTTGACAAGCAATGCATCTGTGACCCAAAACTGTTACAATACTATAATAAAAAATAATAAATAAAAAACATGACATTGACGTACATAACGTATAATACAGTTCCTTACTGATACTATAAGCTTGTGTGAACACAAAAAGACAAGAACATGAGAGACAGGAGAATCCTTTATAGGACGAAAAGAGAAAGAGCAAAAGTTAGATGTACATGTACATGTACTAGGTGGAGAGAAAGGCAAAAGAGAGGAAGAAATATCAATATGAGACAAAAATATACAAGAATAGTAGTCCAGGAATACAACAACGAGAATAGAGAATTGCATTATTAATAATTACATCAGTATTTAGTAGCTATCATGATAGTCATTAGTATTATTGCAGCTAACAGAATATAATCATTTCTTAGTATACATGTGAATGGTACATGTAATTATGTATCATAACCCTTAGTACAACTTGCGATGTAAATGGTACCTCTACCAAACCAGACTAAATTACATGTACTGTGTTGGATTTCTAGGCTAGGAACCATTACAAAGGATCATTATCATAGTAACAGCCTAACTTGATGAACGGAATTATTAGTAATTATTGTGATATCAAAATGAGATATCATGCTGGTAAAACAACATTCAATATTCTTCACCTTTAAGTACTTATTAATAACACACGTACATGTCAAGATTGCATATTACTCATCTATAGTATACTATTACAAGATGCATAAACAGCTACAAGGATCATTATAATACCAGTCCATAGGCGTAGGAATGATTCAAAAGTTGGGGGGGCTCAACATTAAACATACATGTAATCATGGAGACATAGTAATTACAAGTGGTTAACATCATTAAAGGCCTGTCAAAATTACTATGAAATACACAAGCTCAAAAATTGTGGCAAATTATAATAATTATAGTCAAAGGTATATTAATATTGACTTTGTAAAATTGGTCTAAAAGGCAAAAGCATCCTCAAAATGCTGTCATTGCCATGTAGAGTTAAGTACATGCACCCTAAGATATTATGCAAGAACTTGACAGCTCAGAGCTGTTACACACGAAGTGTTGCATGTTGGTTAGTAACAGGCCTTTGCTTGCACAGCCAAAAAAATATAAAAGGAACTGATAGCAAAGGCAAAAACTATAAAACTGAGGAAAGTCCAAATTATAGCATCACTAAGCAATTATGGATATTAGCAAAATTATAAGTAAGAACTTTCTTGATCCCTTTCAATTTCAGTGCTTGTTTGTAGTAAAATATAAGTACATGTGTATTTTACTTTTGATTAACTAAACCAAAAAAAAT